TGGCGGGTGGGTTCGCATTGACGCTGTTTGGCGACGCGCTCTGTTGGGGGGAGTTGCCGTAGTAGTATGGCTGGTGCAGTTGGGGCTGTGGAGATACGGTGGTCTCGTAGGGAGGATAGTATTCCATTGATGGGGTTCGCGGGGGATGTGGCCGCATCGTCCGATCGGGAGGGAAAGTGGGTGTAGAAGTAGAGGCTTCGGGGAAGTCTGGTCGAACGGGATAGGGTCCTGGCAGTCTAGGTCCACTGTTGGGGCGTTCTGGGACGGCCGTGTTGTCGTTGAAGAGGTCTCCGAGGTTCATGTCGAATCGTGGCATTGGTCGCGATGGCCGCGGTTGGCCTTGGCCCTGTCCCTGTCGTCGGGCCGGAACACGTCGTGGGTCCTGCGCATACCTCCCATATGGTCTGCTCTGGTCTGGATGTGGCGCGTTTGTCGGTCTTTGTGTGCTCCGGGACGGTGCCTGGGTTAGGTCTACTTGGGAACCAAATCCGGTGGTGGACAAGCACATCTGAACCGTAGCTTTGCTCATACGTTCAAAGGCATCACGACAGGCTTCTGCGGGAGGGCACTTGTGCATGAGATCGCCAAGTACGGATGTGGCCGCAAGGACGGTGAAGTCCACTTCGTCAAGGGTCTGCGGATGGTTAGAATGATCTCTAAAAGACAGATAATTAGTGGATGCCATACCAGACGACTGCGCACCAAAGGAGAGTGCCAGATCGCATACAAAAAGGAAATGCCTGAAAGAAGTCAGTAACAATACGCTACAGCCAAGTCAGCTAGATAACCTACCCGCCATAAAGATGTGGTGTGTAGCCAAATACGTGTAATTGACCAACCGAACCCGGTGCATCTGACGATATATACGGATCACTTTTTGTCCAGCCTCTGCCACCTTATAGTAGATATCATCTTCATCTTCTGCCTCATCCACGTTAGAGAAGGACGGGCTTGACACATCCTCGGCCGGCATCATCTCATCCGCCAATTCAGCCGGTACAGTCAGGCTTTGCTGATAAAGCATAATCACCGCTTGCCAGTAATTCAACTCGAGAAACTCGATAGGAAACCTGACTCCAGTATCGCGACGCGTGGGCGCACTTTGCTGCCACTCCACAAGCCGCCGGTGGACATCTCTACGCCACGAACGAAACGAATCGAAGCCTTGAAGGAAAGAAGAGGAGATGTCGGGGCGAATATGTCGTCTACCCACAGATGGGGCTCTCTGTCGAACGAACCGGGCTTGCTGATGCTGGAGCACATCTTGGATTTCGGACTGCAACAGACGCAGTTTGAAATAATGATGTGCAGAGTGCTTATAACTCGGAGCACCCTCGGGAGGAGCCACAATTCCAGACTTGGTGATGTATTTGTCTTCTAGCAGAGATGGAAACTCGGTACTGATGGCTTGATCGCTAATCCCAAACGGACGGCCGACGCAGCAACTGACTAAACGGTCGAAGCTGTAAACGCACCACCACAACCGGCGGCGTAGGTCGCGTACCCATTCCCGACGTCCAAGCTCGCGGTGGTCGATTCGTGCTTTGGACTTCTCTGCACTCTTCCCGGGTGCGCGGTTGATTGATTCCTCCCCGAGCGTGTCAATGTCGGTTCCATCTTCGTAATGCAAGCCAAGATCGACTGCCAGTCGCATTGCCACACCAACAATATACCAGAGACCAGGCGCCACAGGTCGCAGAAGGGCAAAACTAGCGAGGAGAAGCACAGCTTGTAGTTCTTCCAGAGCACCAGATCCATCCCCGGCTGCAGTATTACCCAGGAAAGACTCCAGATGGATGATTGCGGAGGCATGATACTCTTCCGGCTGGTGCTGATGGCTTGAAAGCCGGGGTCGCTTGGAAGAAGCCGAAGGAGAGTGGTCGCGACCATCCTCCTTCTCATCAGAGGATGGCTTGTCCTCGAATATAATTCCAGCACCAATGGCAAATACAATATTGAGAATGTAAAGACTGCGAGGGGAGCGGTTCTTTTCATCTAGCGAGTATGTACGATCAAGCATCTCCATGAAGTCAGCCCGGTGCAAAATGGGCATTTGTGGATTCGCATGCTCGAAATAGAGATTGGACAGCCTCTCAGCCAATTCTCGATCCGGGAATGCAGCACATTTCATCATAGACCTGGTCTGTAATCCAAAGAAGGAATCACGCATGCTACTTCCACCTGTTCCCGTAGCACTATGCGGCAGACGTTCATTCGGGCGCATTGGCCCGCGCTCTGCAACATTCCCCGACACAGAACTCTTGACGGCAGCAAAGACCACGCGAGCGAACGAGATACCAGAGGTAGAGCCCAAATATCGGGGATCAGAGGTTCCCTGCACAGACACCATGCCTATGTTCGAAACCAGATTATGTATGCGCCAATTGTCTTCCTTTTGCGAGTCCTGATTGTTGTTCTCCGAAGTCTGACCAGTGGGATCGCTCTTTTCTCTTCTTAGCACGAGTCCATCCTTCTCCTTTTTCACCCACTTTTCGTTATTATCCGAGCCGCTGGCTCCATCACCGGCCGCCGGAACCGAGCCTTCTGAGCCAACCGCCGGGGCCGGCGCAGTATCAATCCCAGTTTCGATTTTCACGGCTTCCTCCTCGTCGAATGCGACAGGGTCTTTGTAGGATATCTGATGGTCTATCAATACCTTCTCCAGATACGCCACACGGGCCTCAAGAAAGTAAACGTAACTGCGAGGGATTTCGCGTTTCGTTATCGGGTCATATCCGACACATCGGACGCCAGCCTTCTCGCAGGACTGACATCGCGGCAGCCTCTGATCGCATCGGTTCTTCCGTAGACGGCAACGATTACAGGCGGAGACATTTCGGAACGAGGATGAATTGGAAGTAGAAGGGGCAGCGGCGGCGGCGGCGGACTGAGTCGCAGGGCCGTCAGTGGCTGACTGTTGTTGCTGGTGAGATTGCGCCGACGGCTCTGGCGGGACGGAGGCAGGCTCGGTAGGCGGATGCGGACGTTTCCTCCCTATGGAGGTCGGCGAAGGAGGAGAATCAGGGTTCAGCATGACGAGAAGGGTACGCAGAAGAGTCGAGTAGACATGCGACCATGTCTCGGAGGGGAGAATTTGGAATCGGACAAGCGAGATGCGGAGATGGTGTACCGGAGACCCAGAACCGAATCAGCATTCATGATAAGACAACCCTCATGCGCTAATACGTTCTGCTTTTGCGCCTTTATTCTTCGAAGACCGGGGTATCCGATTCGATATCCGGGGACAGCGATTCGACGGAGGGCTGACTCGCCAGTGCTGTCCCGATGCTCGGACTTTTCGTTAGTGCCGCGATCCGACAGGACAGAAAGGCGATATTATTTGGACGGGAGGGCACAGTCGCTGCGCATGACGGAGGAGACCGGTCGCAGCAGGAAAACGCGGATAGGCTAGACGGGGGGGTGAAAGGACGGACTGGATTATGGACGACTGATGAGTGAGAAAGAGAAAAAGCAAGCATCAAAAGTCAAGATAGGGCAAATTTTGGTGGAGTTGTTTGAAGGGCACCTTTGGGTCCGGTACCTAGGTAGGAACATTTAGTATCGTGGTTAGTGCCGCCAGCCGGCACTAGTATCAGTAGTGAGAGGCGTACGTATGTCAGTCAAAGAGTGTCAGCTAGAGAAGCATGGCAATGCTAAGACAGTAATTTAGACGCAGCAATTGATGTCAAATAAACGAAATAGATAATGACAAGAATTGCACTGAGGGAAACCAAGTCCAGGTTCCAGGTTCCAGGTTCACCGTTGATGCTGAAGCGAAGTTGTCCGAAGCTGAATTGGTGACAATACCGATACCACTGGACTTGTTCCACGTGACACCGCCCCATGACACAGTGTGCTGATTGGCTACTGATAAGCTGGGGCCATGGCACGGATGAAATTTGTCATCCGGACCGCGGCCTGTCAGTCCCAGGAACTAACAAGTAGTTAACTAAGTAGCTACTTAGTTCACTATGGAGAAGCACTACGGTTCATAGGTACCTCTTCCACTTCCTGTCAATCCAGAAAATCGCAGCTTACGGGACTCGAAGCAATGCAGTAGTGCTGCGCGCTAGACTCAGGGTCAAATCCTAGATCATATTCCTCCTACGCGAGCTCTTATAATGACCGCTTAGAGCCAGTTTAGTTGGAAGGATGGTGGCTAGGTACCCTTCCAACACCAACCCCCTCCCCTCGTTGATCTCAGCTGCACCCCCGCACTACCAGAGGACGCGACAGCACGACTACAGGTGGCATGGCTGCAAGGCGTGGCTAGTCGGAAGAGGGGAAGGTTGCATTACTCAGTCAGAGCCTTGAGGAAAACTCACTCAGACCCCGACGACCGAGCGGAGGGGCAAGGTACAGCGAATAGTACCAGCATGCAGGTCAATATCACAATGGAAGATATTGCCAGTATCTACTAAAGAATGTTGATGCGAACAATACCAAGTACAGTTCAAGAAATCTTGTGTTATGTCTTTAAAATCGACAGGGCTAAGGAGAGATGCTGCTGCTCTCTACCTTGCCCCCAGCAATGAATTCTTCTTCTTCTTCCTCCTTCTCTGCGAATAGTGCGGTTAAATGTAGCAATAATGACAACGAGCCTCCCAGATGCATGAAATCATATGTGTGCCCAATGAATCCCCGCGGTAACCCCAAAATCAAAGACAGAACTGCCAGCCCTCATGCTTTTGTCACATATGCACCCAGTCTATACACTGCGCCATCGCCCAATCTTGGAAATCATGATCTAAAACATAATGGAGAGCAAAGGAAGTCATGGGTGATAAAGTCAAGAAAAAAAAATCAAAAACAAAAAAGAGTCAGGCTATACCACCCAATATGAGCCAAGAATCAAACAAAAGCAAAAGTAGCAAAGGCAAGGCAATGCGAATTTGAGCAAAGGAAATAAGCCTCCAAGCAAGAGTAGTTTTAAAAAAAGACAATGATGCGAGAAGAAGCGACAGTGCTTCTCGCGATAATGAAACAGGAGTCGGACAGGTCTATTGGCTTAGCTTCGACTTGTCAGGCTCGGGCTCGGAAGTGACGTTCAGGTTGGCTTGCATTAAGTCCACGTTGGGAACGTCCAGGTCATCGATGCTGGTGCGCGCCGAAGACAGCAATCTCCGCACTTCCTCGGGAGAGCCGTCTTCCTTGCCTGCAGTGAAGGAACCCCGCAACGAGTCGCGGTTTGAAGTTGGGCCATCGCATTCGGGTTTCTTCTCCACGTCCTGGTCTCGCTCCGATTCCTCCATCCAAAAGCTCTCGATGGCGCCAAGGATGCACACTATTCCACAAGCCCACCAGGCTAGCACGGAGTATCCACTTTCGAGACCCTTAGAATGAAGCAAGCCAGTAACTGTTGGGCCGAAAGCGCGGCTCAAGCTAGCTGTCGAGGCGGCCGCACCGTTGATGGAACCGAGGACTTTAGAGGACGGGGCAGCGTTGGCGAGAAGAATAGCAGTAGCAGGGAATGCGATGACATGCAGCGTGATTTTGCTGATCAAAGCGACGTAGGCCGCGGCAGTTTGGAGCTGTTCGGGCAGGAGGATAAGGTAAGGGACCATGAGGTAGAGAGGCGGCCAAACGAGCAACACGAAACGGAAAACTCTCAATGTTCCAAAGTGACGAACAACGAATGGGAACAGCCACAGCTGCGCGATCATGGAATAGACGCCTTGAACCGCCAACATGAAGCCGATTTTACTCGTAGCCAGTCCCAGACCACCGGTAAATTTGAAGGGAAGCACGACATCGTCGTCCGACTTGGGGGTGCTCAAGAAGACGGGCATGAGTTGGTCGAAGGAGACACTGTGGCTGTTGTGCAAAAGTCAGCGTCTGAAGAATGGCGGGGGAAGAGAAGTGGGGAACGAGAGGGGACTTACTATGCAAGAATGCCATAGGCAATGATGTTGAAGATGACTTGTTTGGTGAAAGCCTTGGGAGTTGCGCACGGCTCGCCCTTCATCTGCCCCTCAATGTCGTCATCCGCAGACAGGTTGTCCGATTCCTTCATCGGACCCAGACGAGGCGAACTTTCCGTGCTTCTGTACTCTGGCGGAGGGACATCCTCGTAGTCGTAGTACTCTCCCTCTCCGGTCAATTGCGCTTTGGCGTCCGTGGGCTCCGGGAGGGATTCGGGAGAACCCCAGACTTTCGCAACGAGCCAATTGCCCAACGCCAGGCCGGGATCGCGGCGGTGCTTCTTCTCCGGATGGGTCTCCTCCAGGAACAACAGGCCAACAACGATGCCGGACACTAAGACGACAACGCAGACCAGGTTGGGCAGCAGAAACGGAAAGCGATCAAAGATGGTGTCACGTTGAAATAATCCGGGATAATTGTCGCATGGTTGTGCCAACGCACCACCCATAGCAGGCCCGATGATCGACCCAAGGCACCAGACGAACGGCATGATGGAATAGGCCCGGGGTTGGTGCTCTTTGACAGTGACGATCTCTGCAACGGTGGTTTGAAGCACGCCAATGTTGCCGTTCAGCAGGCCTCCCAGTGCCCGGGCGATCATGGCAGTTGGCAAGTTGGGAGCGAACCCGAAAACAACCATACTAATGGCAGTTCCAATCAAGCCCATGACGAGGACAGGCTTTCTGCCAATCTTGTCACTCATCCGACCCCAGAACATGCCTGCGGAGAACTCTGCAAAGGTGAAGGCCGATGTAATCATTCCAGCATACAGGGCGATCTTGCGGTCGTTATCTGTTACGTGGAACGATTCGACCATCTGGTAAACATAGGGGAATATGGACATAAACGCGATTGGTTCGCAGATGCGGCATAGTGCTGGTATCACTGTCAGTCTCCATTGGATCGCGGGGCCAATAGTACTAGTATGATATTGCGTGGGGGAAGGAACATGCAATAAGAGGTAGTAGTAGATGAAAGAGGGGTGCGTGCATACGCAGGAATCAGGTACCCAAACAGAAAGCTAAAATAGAGAAAAACAATAAAATAGAATAACAAGTGATTGACAACAAAACAAAGTAATGGGCCGAGGGACAAACAAATTCCTATTTGCCATATGCACGATCACGGTTGGGAATTGGGCGCAAAGGAATTGTCACAACAGTCAGTCCAGTAGAATAAAAACGTACCTAGCACAAAGAGCTGGCGGACAGGGAAGGCGGTCCAATCACCGTTGCCCTCACCATGCCGCCGGCCTTGTAAACATGACGGTCGTTTGAACATGATGTTGGTTGAGCGGTCACCCACTTGGTTCACTCGCTCAACAGAAGGAAAGAAGAATTGAAGATTGTTGTTGTGTTTGTTGTTCGCGTGAAGTCTTCGAGATCAAACACGGAGGGCGATATCGGCCTGCGTCTCTTGCAATAATAATATAGAGCAAGACAATATGCGAGGCCAATGGCCAATGATTTCGGGGAATGTGTCTTCGGCTGGAATCTCCGCTGTAACCGAAGGGAGGGAATGTTATGATGATAAGATCGCTGGACTGAAGACAAGAGGACTCGGTTTGTTAAAGGGGGTTCAACATTTCTACCCCCCTGTCGTCAATCGATGCTGCAAATCCTTTTTAATCTTTTTTGCGATTTTATTTTCCGTGCTTCTTGTTCCCGAGAAACGGCTAGACTGTGTAACTGCAAGGGAATCCAATGACGCAAACTTTGAGTGGTGAGGAACCCCAACGGTGATAAAAGAAAATCACAGGGGGGGGAGGAAGTTGGAAGCAGAAGAGGTATAGAAGTAGAAAGGCTGGTCCGTCGTCGTTCAATTGAGGGTGTGTGTAAGGGTAATAATGATGATGGGTTGGCGGGTGGAGGTGGTAGGAGAGTAGGGCTAATGGGTAAGTAGTACTAAGGTAGCAAATATAGTAGCGGAGTGCAACAGATGGAGAGGAGAAGAGAAAGAAAGCGCTGCAGTCCACGGAGGCAAGTGGATTGTATTTAAGAAAGATGGCGGAGAGAAGAGGGAAGGTCACATAAAAGGAGAAATCTGGACGGGCAGGGAATTAAATGAAGTATTTCCAGTGGATTACCTAGATATATGATCAGGCGAAAAGACTAAAACGTCAACGGTTCAAGATAGTAAGTATGGGACAATGGAGCAAGCCTATTTCGGTTACAGCTGTACAAAAGGATGCAGGATGCAGTCGACAGCAAACAGCTGAGGAATAAGGGTATCCACTTTCATTATTAGCATGATTAATATTTTATTGTTATTATTTTATTTTCTCGAGGGAAGGGAAAATAAAAAATCCAATTTTTCGATTTTTTGAATTTTTTATTATTTTTTTAAGGTATGATGCGGGTGGACTACGCGGAGGGGAGGGAACGAGAGATGGATCGGAACCATCTGACACGGCCGTCAAGGCAACAAGACAAAATAATGGGGCACCACAAGAGACTTGAGGTGGGCGGAAAGGGAAAAAGTAGCAGGAAAAAGAGAAAGCAGCAGAGCAGAACCGGAATCCGAGAAAGGGGTGGAGCCAATAGCAGAAGCGAAACAATACTCTCTCTCTCCATTCAGGTACTACGGACTTCACGGGGCATACATCATGTTCACTCCCACCTTGGGTTACAACTTGAGTATTACTCGCTCTCTCTTTCTCTTCGCCAGTAACGTCCCAGCCGTGTCCGGGCAGAAAGGGAACCAGAGGGAAACCGCCCGGTTACCCATGTAAGAGCGGTATGGCCCTTTGATTCCTTACAACACAAGAGAAAAAAATAAATCAGCCCGTGATTTTCCCGATTGCAACTATTAGCCAGGAATAATAATCAGCATCATCATTATCGAATCAAACAGAAATAATGTCATAAGGGGAAAAATCAGATTGAGATCGGAGCTGGAAATGTATCCATCAACTAGACCTACTGTCAGACCACACTAAACACTCAAAGGGGAAGACGATTAAACTAAAGTAATCAAAAGGGAAATATTGGGGAACAAAAAAATAATTGTTTAATAACGAAAAAGGAAAGATAAAAAAAAAACTCCAGGATGAAATGAAATCAAGAAAAATGGGGAGGAAAAATAATAATAAAAATAATAATAAAGAATAAATACAGAGAAAAAAAAACAAAAGTAGTAAAGGAAGCAAAAAGGGAGAGAAAAAGGCAAAAGGAGAGACACAGCGAGAAACCGCAAATTGCCCCATTCCAGAGCCGCCGCCGCAGATTGACCGGTAGGACCCATGGACCTGAGCCCCGGGCTCCGGGGAACAGTCAGAGGTGAGTAGTTGAGTAGCTAGGAGCGCGCTAAATTGGCCCGTAAGGCAATGATGATCGGCTTTCCAGAAGTCTGGTTTTAGTGTGACTTAGTGAGATGATAGATCTAACAGCACCTCCGCCCATTTTCAATCACAGTGACCAGCCCGCCTCCCCACCTCCCCTCTCAAGTCTCAATAAAGGGGATTACCTATCATGGCTAAACTGAATGGCGAGTGATTTGAGTTTAAGTGAGTGAGAGTGTATGTGCGGCTGTAATTACACTAGGGAAGCTGCTGTCCCTCCACAAAGTAAATGTCTTTTTTCTTTCTCACTCTGCCTCCATCCCTCCCTTCGTCCTGATCCACAGGAGCGGAATTCTGGAAGAGCCAGCCGGTTTCCACCCTCATGCTTGATCAGTTGACGGATCAGGTAAAAAGGGGATCGCCCACAAAATTACAAAAAAACTTAGAGAAAAAAAAAAAAAGAAAAAAAAAAGAAAATGTATGCATCAAAAGTGCTACGAACTGAGGTCCACACTCGGTAGTTGTTGCTGGTAGTTGATGTTGGACAAACAAAGAACTACGCTAATCATGACAACATCCAACAGCACAAGCTACCGTGGTATTACAAATCAGGAAGCAGAATAACATCAAATATAGGGAAGTTTGTACTTTAGCAGTCAGTTGGACTACAATGGACGATTAGCTAACAATAAAAACGGGGGTGCCTTGTTTGGGGGCTGCTTAATGGTAAGAAGCGGTGAATCGTGCAAGATCAGGGAGGAATACACATCGGCAAGTCGAGCCAAGAAATCAAAGAGTGTACAGTAAGTTAGACAGGTTTGAGGGTTTGGTGATCTGATATGGAGGAGCGGAAAATCAAAGCTGTGGGCATAATACTGATTAGCCAAACGAAGATAAGAAAAAGGGAAAGCAACAAGAAGAGAGGGCGAAAAAGAGGGGTTGGCGAAGTGGGTAATTAGTGAGCGACGAGAAGAAAGAAGATCGCTGGGAGAAGTTGATGGGAGAGCGGAGCAAGCAAAAAAAAAAGGAACAGGTGAAAAAGAAAGCACAGCGTAAAAATTGGGGGAATGGAAATAAAATCAAAGCCCACATACACACATACGTAGTACATACATACATACATACACAGCACACGGGACCATACACAGTTAGAGAGTAGATACCATCATCCTCCATTTACCAAAGTGGGACAGATAATAGGACTGGCGGCAAGCGGGAGGTGAGCAATCGACAGCCAGCCCTTACGGTGAGAAACGACGCTATTATTCCATCGCTTGACTGAAAGTGGACCGACAAAAGACGGGGTGGGTGATCGGGAGAAAACCGATTGACATTTAGAGCGATCACCCGTCAAGAAAAGGAGAGAGAGAGAGAGCCTACTTGCTACGACTAGTACTATTAGTATTTACTAAGAGACGGATTGCGACTTCTCACCCCATGGTTAGTTGCTTACATACAAGGAGCCCAAGCTTAGAGGGTTGTATGATCGTTGTAATAATCAGTAATAAGTGTCCCTCGTTATAGAGGCGTGTTGTCCTTGAGCTCGGCACCTAAAGTAGCAAATGGACTAATTCCGAGGGCCACGGTGTTATACCGTACCCAAACAAGCAACTTGACCAACCTCACTCATGACCCCATGGAGTAGATCGAGCCATGCTATAAATCACTACAAAGTGATGACCGCTCGGCTTCTCGAGCAAATGCCCCGGAACTCTAATGCGATCTTTTAGAGGGCATACTAGCTTTGTCTGGTGATTAGTAGGTGACATTTACAGTACCTGGGGAATTCTGGAGGAATGAGACTGAGAAAGAGAGTGTGTGTGGATGAGTAACAAGGGCAGGCCTGTCTTGTAACTAATTCCGATGTGAAGAAAGGATCGAAGAGCCAAAGAAGCGAGGAGGGCGAACAACATTGCAGCAGGTGATCACGGGGGTTTGATTGGAGCTCCCGCCGAACTCTATCTATCTTGTTTGAAGGTTTTTTTTTTCTGCGCTATCGGTCCCAACGGATAGACGGAAGTGTACAGTAAGTAAGTAAGTAAGTAATCATGGTGTCCATACTGACCGAACTGCATTTTGTTTGGATACCAATCGTAAATCCCATTAAGATCATTCCACGCATCCCTGGGGCTGCCGATGACTGTGGAGTGATGGACATCGTCGCAGACTCTGGGTCCCCAGTAAAATCCCTTCTCGGATTCCTTTGACGTCATTCTATCTACTAGTCCAACGGCTAGTGCTCGAGATTTTCCCCGTGTTGCTTGGAGAACCTCTTAATTGAGACCTGAAACGGCGGGTAATGCGAAAAGTAAGTTCCTGGTACCTAATGGTATGAGGCTAATGAGCCTGACACCCGACGACGCACCTTCAAGGTCCTGTCCGTTCTGTCTTTCTCCTCCATCCCCCAGTTACGAGGTTACCTAGCCACAGCTAAGTTCTGCTAAGTATTAGCCGCCGTTGGTGTTGTTTCCCAAATCGCGTGGCTCTCTTTAGGCTCTCTGGGTGACATGGCCAACTATCCTACTATAACAGACCAGGGGGGGTGGGTTTAGAAAGATACTTACTGGTCATTTTACTCCTCTGATAATGCCATTGGCCAACTGTGATCGCGTTATGTCTTCTAGTTAATTCCGAAAAGTAGTAAGTAGTAGCCTGCCTTCTCCATGAACACATAAAAGTAACGCTAAGGGCGGGCGGAGGTGAAAAACAAGCCCAAGTTACTTACTTAGTACCAAGTATGTAATATTACGTGGTATCTGGTAACGAAGAGAGAGGAACAGGTAAAAACCCACCGCTGCATAAGGTAAATAGTACCATGCTGTGGATCTCATAGTGCCTGACTTAGCGTTGTTGAGATCTGGAGCCACGCGAGCCAAATGAGGGTCAAGAAGAGGGGGAGAAAAACAATGGAAGCTTGCGAGCTGCAAGTGATCTTTTGACCATCATGATGAATAGGCCAGTGGGGCGCTTTTGATACGGACGATCGACCATTAGCATCCGCCCGCCCAGCAGGAAAGAAGATGAAGGGCGGACAATAAAATCGGGCAGCTCAGCAAAAGGCATTTGCAGAGCAGCAGACGACGTCATTCCACTTGAGACGGACAGTAGCAGACAGCTGAACCCGCTGACCTCTACCAGATCATCAAAGAAAGTGAAAAAGGGGGTGAGGGGGATAGATTTGGTACACAAAGCCAATGGGGAGGATCCGGAAACACCCCCCGCCGAGTTGAAACCCGATGACCCCGTTGCTCTGGGCCAAAAATACGTACGTATAGGAAGTCAGTAAGAATTCTATCCGCCGGACGGCTTCATGGAGGAGCCGGACGAAGGAGCAGCTAGGGAAGAAGAAACCCTACCCAAGCTACTAGCTACTAGATACCACGCGGGAGAGACGCAACCCGAGAGAGCATGCGAACGAAGATAAGTCGGGTCGGGTCTTCAAAGCCAATACGAGTGCTTCCTTGAGGATCCCGATTGGGCTATTTAGGGATTTTCGCGACAACGTGCTGTCGCAGGATTAATTTGTCGAGTTGAATGCATTACTTGCATCCAGTAAGATGGAGCTTACCCCTCATTTCCCTGACAAGCAAAGACGACGACGTGCCTCGTTTGGGTTTCAAGGATTTGCTAAGGAGCCGTCAACCCAAACGGCCCGTGGTTTGGCGGTGTCTGCATGGCGTCGGTTCAAAAACCATGATACTGGACAGGAGATGGCCGAGTGGTCAGCGGTCTTAGCTCGAGTGACCACGATCGTGTCCAGCTTGATAACCATTCGGACGTTTCGGAGGAAAACAGGAAACGGACGGTGAAATGTCATCGCGATGCGCCTAGTCTCTTAGCAGATACATACGTGCTGCTGTGCATCATGTGAGCATGACCCGTCGCAGCTGAATGAAGCACGGGCGAGTCTAAATTATTGGGTGGATCGAGAGGGGGGGGAAGACCCTGAGATGATTAGCAGCAACAGTTGACCACTAGTATACTTGTATATACTTGTAACTAGGCTAATTGCATGGGAGCTGGCGACAACTTCCTGGTCACTATTGGCAACTATGATGTGCTGTTGGTGGTAGTAGTAGTAGTAGTAGTAGTAGTAGTAGTAGTAGTAGTAGTAGTAGTAGTAGTAGTAGTAGTACTTAGTAGTAATCGAGGGAAGAAAGGATGATGATTGATTAGTGAGGAACATCGGTGTGTGGTGCCGTGCCCGCTGATGCCGCTGCCCTGCAGGTGCAATAACTTTGTGCCAGCTGCCATGGAAGGAGAGAGGGGGAAAGCGTCGGTCACTGCCCACTTCACCACTTGAATTGAACCACCGCCAAAACAAAACAGAGGAAAATTCCGGCAGGAAGCGGTGAAGAGCCGAGAGAGGAGGGGCTTGCAGGCTGCTGGGTAACTTGGGTACGGACCGCCTAAATTGTTGGCCGATAACTAACTACTAACTATCACCACTGACTGCATCACGATCCTTGTGCCACCAAATGCGGGACAGACAGGCTTTGTTTGTCAACGTCTGTCAAAGATCCTGGCCGGTTTTACCCTACTTACTGCAGTCCTCGTGTGTCTTTAATTTTTTCAAGAACCTTTGCGATAGGTCAGCTGCCCCGTCCCCCGGGGGGGGGGGGCGCGCGGTGGGAAAGGAAGAATAACGCTCTGCTGTGCTTTGGGCAGAAATCCAAGCGCGGGCAGTCGCTAATGCTTGCTTGAATCATGCCTGGCTGGCTCGGGATCGTTCACGGAGCAGCAGTAGCAGCAGCAGCAGCAGCCCTGGTCCGCCTTGCAGGGAGCAATGAGAAACTTACGGTGAGCGATCCAACATTACACACACAAGCTGATCCAATACACAGCCACGATAGCCAGGAGGGCAGCTGGCAACAACCTTCGGGAAGCAGTTTTCCGTTTTGACAGCTGGGCTTAGATCAACTCCTCATGCAAGGTCGATTGATTGCTGCTACTGGTGGCATACACCCATGCCTCTTGTTATCGCACCGGCGGGGCATTGGGCTGCCCCGCGGTACATCGCTTTTGCTGCAGTGGATGGTTGGGAGAGGTGTCAGAACCAGGCTGGAGGAAAGGAACCGTAACATCTGCCCATTCATCCGACCATCAATAATCCTTCTTCGGTATTGCGGGAGGATGTTAGAGGCTGTCCTGGAGTATGTCTGTCCCTCTAAGCAGCATATCGCGTCTTGCGTTAGTGATCTTGTCAGTCTGATCACAACGACAATACATCAATACTACTATGCCTCCCTATCACCTAACCCACCTATTCTCCGATTCGTTCAGTATCCTGCAACGACACTCAGCATTGAGCATCTTCATTACTGGCATGGGACTCTATCTAGTCATCGATGCATGGCTTACTGGCGCATGACGTTGACTCTATCAGCAGGTCTCTGCTCCATAGCTTTCCAGCCTCTTTCTCTCTCGTTTCCCTTTTTTTTTTCTTCAATTTCTTTTCCTAACTCTTGAGTTTCGCTCGCGGGGCGATTTTTACGTTGCTGCGATTCCTTCTCTCTGACCCAGCACATGTCTCAAAGCTTCAGCGAATCCCATTAATTTTCTCCGTATGGAGTATTGAGTAGTCCTCCGTAGCGCCCTCCCAACTCTCGGGATCCACGGCCCACCTGAAATCAGCTTTGGAGGGATAAGCCACCCGCTTCCGGTCTGCGGTGGATCGTTTTACAGGCGCAGTTCCCGCGCCAGAGTGTCGGGTCCGCTTCTTGAGCCTTGAGGAATCCTATACTGTGGCGGATGAGACTCGGAGTGTCTTTGCCAGTCCCACACTGTTTGAATTTCTTCTCTTTTTTTTTTTTCCTGCTGATCGTCTAGTTCTCAATTAGGTCATGCTCGATGTTGCCTTCCATCATGATCGGATCATCCGATAAATACAAAGTAACTAACTACTAGTCTGTTAGTTAGTTAGTTATGTCGGTTCCGTCCTGACTTAGGCTAAGTCAAGTCGGTACTGTCGGCGCATGGCCGCATGTTTCATAGTAATTGAGGTGGTTACCCGACTACTAGAGACGGTCCACCCCCCTCCCAGAACAGTCACTAACTACATGATGCTTCGTCAAGCAGATGTATCGAACGCTTCTAGAAAACCCCCGTATTGGAGTAGTTGACGTCAGCGTAAAGTATTGTGCATCATGCCATTGGTGCTGAACAATAATGTAAGATCGAGTAAGATACTCGTTGACAATTGCTCGATCGGTCAACACCGGCAGTCAGCGTGACTGCGGCTGTGACGGGTCAAAGAAGCCCCCAGCAGTAAGTAGACTAGTAGTTACTACTACGACGGTGGCAGGACTGAAAAGCCATACAGTAAATAGTGATCCAAAATTGAGATCCTGGAGTGTCTCTCAGCTGGGATCCCTGGTCTTCTGTCAGGATTACGGACATGATCGGTTCGATCAATGTGGGGAACCGCGCAGGTCATACGCAGTCAACCACCAACCTACTGGGGATTTCTCTGTTAGGAGTAAATGGAGTGTGTCTTTGAAGGCATCCGTTCCATCGATGATTGCATTTGCATCTATGTAAATCCTCGGAGTCTCTCGGTCTTACTTTATCTAATCGCTAAATAATGCCTATAATTACCCAGCATACGTTACCTGTATGCAACGCAGTCGGTTCGAGTCAGAGAGCCAAGCGGAAACGGAATTTTGAGACTTTGAGAGTGAGAGAATGGTGTGAAATCTAAAGAAAGAAAGGATGAAAACGCCAATAGAGACCCGCAGTCTTTCCCGCCTTTCGGTTGGAAGATGGAACAACTAGTTATCTCATGAGACCAGCACCTCGCTGTTTTCGTCCACCTCGATACCTTCATCCACTACTCCGTAACCCCCCTTCCAACGTCAGGAGTAGTAGGATAGTAGGATAGACTTTGAGACGAACCAAGGTACCGAGTACCGGGTAGGAAGTACCGGACCAAAGATAGAGCTGAGGAGAGGTACGAATCCACCAGGTACCTTAGTTCACCACCAGAGCCGAAGGTCTTTGTGCACTGGAACCGGCTTCACCTCCCCGAACCAATAAAACCATATAGGCGGTCAGGTGGATGGATGGCACATTTTGGTGGATGTGAAACATCGAACCCGAGAAAAGGGCGGGAATTGCATCTCATCTCATCTCATCTTTTTTTTTCTCCCTCCTCGCTTTTCGCCGTTGCGTCACAATCACACGCCGGCTCGACGGAAGGGATTTGGAGGCAAAAGTACGGGCGAATAGTACTTCCCCGTCGCTGGCTTCTGGCAAATCGAGCCACCGTGGCTAAGCCAGCGGGGCTGGGCAACTTGCACCGAAAAAAAATGCCTTCCTTCTTTTCCATTTCCTTCCCTCTGCTTTCTTTTCCCCACCTCAATTGCGCCCCCCCCTTCAAAGGGCGAAGGGAATTGCGGACTTGGCCGGTCTTCGTCTTACACTTACTCTGTTCTTTTTTCCTTTTCTAAATTAATTAAGTGTCATACAGTAGTATCCAGCATCAGCTGGGACGGGATGGAATCTGTTCCATCTAGTCTCCGTCTTCTATCCGTCTCTACCTATCGCAAAGCGAGATGGAAGCATCCTTTCAGCTGGGAATAATTATGGGGGCGCGGCGCTACAATGGCGTAACTATCGACGGACTCGACGGCTCAAGTAAGGTTCAGTCTGGATAATGTGTCTACTCCTACGGATACAGAGTACTAAGCATGTCTCGGTTCCTAAAACCACTCATTTCACTCGTCCTCTTCATGCTGACCTATGAAAGAACTCGGTATGTAGGCGACCTGCTCTAGTAGGCAGGTAGATGCCTGTACCACCTACACATGTCAGTGGGTTCTCAACAACCGCCATTGTCCTCCTGTCTTCGTGGCAAAACTGACCCCCAAATCCACCACCATTTGATAGGATGCACCGGTGGTCAGCGCACACACAAAACACAGCACCCACATACACATACACATACACATTAAACAGTAAAGGGAAATTAAATCCCGGATTGAATAAGGAGTAACTTTCGAAGAAGGACTTTCGTCTCCAACGGAATTGCGGATCCGGTCCCGCGGCGACGGATAACAATCGAGGACCATGGGTCTGATCTCCAATCACACTCGGCTAGTCTCTCGACTCTCGCATGATTGATCGATTCCGCCTTCCTGTTCCCGCCTTTTGGCTTTTTCAGACGGCGCACTATTTGCATTCCGCCCCATTTTAGAGCCATCATAGCCGTCCTCTTTTTGATCATGTGAGCTGCAGGGGAATCCCATCCTTCCCCTTCCGGCGGTACCAGGAACCCTATCCCATTCGCTCAGATCCCTGCACTTCTGGAATCCACTGCGGAGCCTCAGACCAAGTTGAACGGCTGTATATCAAGGCCAAGGTGGGCTAGTCCCTGTAAGTGAGTCTACGACTGTGTACTTTGTACCTGTCAACATGAATCGGAGGGAACTTGTCCCTCGCCCCAACGTGCGGAATCTAGCCTTTCTGGATCCATCAACAGGAGGAGCCCCTACCTCGACTTCCTCCCTCGACACAGTGTATGTACGCTATTCCGTAGTATCCGACAGGGATGCCAACAATGGACCATAACTTTAAATCGCAATATGGCCCGGTACTTTATGCATCTCAACTTGTTCATGGACGTCGTGACTAGTTCGTCGATCGCGGGCGCTGATTTGCAGAAGGGCCTGCCTATCCCTGTGACAGCCGAACTACTGCATCCTTGTTCACAATCACAGACCCCAAACCAAGCCAATAGCATTGTCATGCAGGCGGTCTGCTGCGAACAGCATCCCACCACGCATGGTAGTGCCGAAACAAGATGAGCCAGTGTCATTTCTGGATTTGACCTTGATCTGTCACTTTGGCAGCATCCAGGTCTGCACATGGGATGCACAGCGACTGGGTGGTAGAGGCCTATCTAGACGGGTGGAGTCCTGTCAATGATCTGCCGTGTCTCGACCGAGCTTCTGCGATAATGATCCTACTCGCAGATCGTAGGTCGTGGAATGACGGTCCAATTGTGCAGTAATAACCCCGAATGGTCATTTAACTCCACGAATTATGCAGTCATGGATATGTCCATGTTCCATTTCGTCAATCGAGAAGCGGCATGGGCATGCCATTACAGGAAACAAGGTAGTCTAGAAGACCCACTGTGCAACTCGCCATACCAAGATTATGCTCAGCTACTATTGAGGTAACCGGGCTCACGTCACACAAATCACAAGGTGTGCTACATACAGCACCGAAGCCGGTGAGCCCACTTTGCACGGTGGACTTGGCCACCACCTGACCAAGTTCTCGTCGCGAGGCCCTGGTGCGACAGGCACCGATAGTGTAACAATGTGGTGACGGTGGGTAATCTCCCTGCGGTACTTTGGACCTTTTGCCTATCAGGGAAATTATAGTCCGCTTCGCAGGCTGGCTGGGAGCAGGTAGCCTTCTTGGTAGGCGCCGTCACGCAGGAAAATACGGCCAATGGTCGCTATTTGGTCGTAACGTGTGACCAACGGGCGTGTCGTCGCATATTTGCCGAGCTGTCAATCTACAGGCCGCCACCGAGGCAACAAGTGGAAAAAGAAATGACGCTAGGAAGGAATCATTTATCGATCTCTTCGCAACAACGGGGCGGGAAGAAATGGAAAAGAGAGACACTAGATGAACAGAAAGCAAAAATCAAAAAGGAAATTTGAGCTCCGATAGGGGGAATCGAACCCCCGGCTGCCGTGTGAGAGACGGCGATGTTAGCCACTACACCATATCGGATTACTTGATATTCTGGCTTATTTTCTTTAGCTATATGTCTCACGGCCGTTGCCTGTCAGATCTAGACAACGTTGGGTGTCGCGTTCCTCCATCGCGACTCTGGCAACGCATTGGACTAACTGTGGAATTGTCCGCATGCACCTTCAAGTTGCGGGCTGGCTGCCTTCACCATGATACTAAGCTGGGCATCTATTCAGCCCTGCTTATGCGGTGATTAGCAGGAACTGAGAGAATGTATTACTACTTATCTACCGGGTCCGGAATGTGTCCTAGGGCAAAGACATATATTCCAGGGCAGCTCGTGCAGGATAGATCGCCGCGGATTCCGTTTTTGTCGGCTTCCAACCATTGACTCACCCACTCTATTCCGGACCACGGAAACTGGACCTGATCCGGAGAATGCTACCTTTCTGGACCGAAATTATTAATTCAAAACTTGGATGGCCAGACCCTGAAGACACAACACCCCTTCGTCATGTGATCGACTGAGGTGCTGGAAGTATACATTTTACACGCCGGATGCATTGCATCTGCATCATCCAAGATGAGATGAGGCGGCCGATAAGCTAGCGTAAGCTTCGACTGGATAGAACGACGAGTCGATCCTTCGGGCAGGGATGTCAGCCACTAACGGACAAAAGTACCCATTTCCCAGTCGCCCCTCCCTCCGTTCCCCAGAAGCATTGAACAGGAAAAGTCCAAAAAGCAAAGGCATTCTAACTAGCCGGGCACCCGCATCATCCGGGACACTAAGACCAGCTAGACTAAGTAGACTCTCACATTTCAGCTCTCTTCCCCCCCCCCAACCTACAGCATCCAGTGGCTATCCGCGCGCACGCCAAAGGAAATAACGGAACTCTACACAACTTTAGGTTCTTTGATACATCCACACGGGACGGGAGGACATCTCCGGCTCTCACTATTGGAGCATTATTTTCTTCCCCCCTGAGATGTCATGATAACCCAGATTTCGAATGGAGCCCTTGTTTGTCTGTTTGCTTTGTTGATCGGGTTTCATGATGGAGATCTTGTCGTGTGGTCGGCGATAAATGGACGTCAGGTTCGTTGGATGAGGAGTGCGTCAACATCCACCCCCTGCTGATCTACTACCAAAGTAGATACTAGTTAACTAGCAGCATGTACTGATTTAGTCCGAGGGACAGATGGATGGACACACCACCCCAATATCTAAGCCTGTCCAGTGCGTCCACAACAACTGAATATCCACAATATGTAAAGCCATGCATAAGTCCCATCTCCACTCTCCCACACACACTCCCTCTCGACGAAAAGGCCAGGTCAAGTATCTATTAACTGCGATAAGTTTAGCGCATTCACACCCATTCTACATTTGACTAAATCCGACAGTCCAGATCAGGTCCCCGAAAGGTAAAATAGAAAGTTGACACGTCCGAAGAAGAGCCCACTGACCACTTAGTTACTGACTTGCTTCAATCACGATCCACAATCACGCAGTCTTATTTCTAATTCAGCAACTCTCTTTTTCATATGAAGTATTTTTATCTTTCATTTTCGCCACTGTGGATCGGTCCAGATCGCAGATACAGGTACACACCCAAATGAACGATGAATAACTAACTGGGTCTACACAATAGATGCATAGCACACAGTAGTAACTACAGTAACCAAGCACCGACTAATCCATCCATCCAGCAGCAATGACCCCTACTGCATCTGCAGATTACTCCCAACATACCACTTTCTATACCAACAGCAACAAGGTGAAGAAGAGACGAAGTACCACAAGGATATGTGGCTCAACAGCTATGGTGCCATGCGACTCAACCAATTCCCGGGTGTGGCGAGTCCGCGCGGCATTAGCCCTGCAGTTGAAACCACCACTGCTGCCACCTAAGTACTTCAGCTGCTACCGCTATATACTGTAACACAACACCTGACTTGCCCGACTGACTGACTGACTGACTTACAATGCAGCCCAGTTGGGTATTTGCCCGGTGAGATTTGAGCGGTCTACTGTATACTATGCATAGGATTGCATCATTGTGCGATCATTCCTCGGGATATACTTGCTGTATGGGACGGGAGTATTATGCATGTCGCATGGTGCGCTTGTTGATATATTGTCTATCATTATCCAGGTTAATTGAGTTGCTGTTGTTGTGGCCCGACTTGATGCCTGCTTGCCTGCCTGCCCGTCTGGTTTGCCTGTCTGTTTGTTTGTTTCTGTACGCCCTTATGCTGGTGAACGTTGGTCGGTGTTATGGTAGGCTGTCTGTAGAAGGGAAAATAAACCCGTGTCTCAGTTTGCCAAAGATTTCATTCTGTTTCCTTATTTGGAGATAATAGCCTAGGCCTAGTGTGTCTTGCTTCGAATGTCAATTATAAAGTAAATTCATCAGAACAGAGTTTATAGTCCGGTATAACCACCAATGCCCATATAGATACGAATACCCCCAATCCACAACCTGACATCAGAGATCAGACACCCCCCTCGAGAATAAAAACCCACCAACCAAGGTACTCCGTAGAGACTCCCCGAGTCGTCGCCGATATATGCGCGCAAGGTATCACCGCAACACAGCAGAGACAGGGCAGCGCAGTGCAGCACAGTGCAGTGCAGTGCACATCTCCCTCCTTCCTTCCCTCGCACACACTGCATCTGTAATGTAAGCCGACACAACCTGACCCGACCCAGCCCGGCCCAGCTCAGCTCAGCTCAGCTTGAGTGCGTCAAAAAGGAAAAGTTCTGCCCGATGTAGTGCAAGACAAAGTGAAGATTGATCGTTGGGCCTGGCCGCTCTTTCAGACAGACAGATAGACAGCCAACTTTCAATTCTTCGTTGACTAACACTCGTAAGTGTAAGTAAGCTTGACACACATACTGCTGCATATTTTCCTCTGCTGACTGTAGCTTCTGGTGCATGGAGTTAGGAGGTTTTTGTTTGATATGACAGTCTTGAGGAAGATGTACGGGCTTTAGGGTTGCAGATGAGTTGGTAATTGGATGAATGGACAGTTTGGTGATTGTTGCATGTTGAGTATAGACTTTTTGTGGTGGTTTGTGGGATAAAAGTAAGTTTGGTTTGTTCTGTTATGTTATGGTCCTGGAATTTCAGTTCACTTGGTGGTTTTGTATGTATGTCTTGTGGTTATGGGGTTGGTTTTGGCTCTGCTGTTGTTAGTTTGTGATTATCTGCCTGGAATTGGGTTGACTGTTAGATCTGGATAATAATAATGGTGTAGACTTCGGATGCATGATGAAGACAATAGATGGACCTCGTATATTCTGACAATGGCAGATAGCAAACAGATCCATATTGAATGTCAATGTTTGTTTGCAGTAAACACTGTTATCATCATGTGCCGATAAGGTCACGTGTCAGACGGATTTGCTGGAAATGCGGCATGAGCCATGACATCGACAATCGATTTCATCATCAATCCCAATCCCAAGAAGCTATTGAGTTCCTGAAACAAGGCAGGAAAATGCATCGCAGCTGATTAATACCCCTTCAATTCGCATAATTGCCTCTCCCCGTCATCCCAGAATGAGCTATAGCTAAGCTCCACATTTTACAACATGGCAGCTCACAGAACATGGCTCCTCCGCTCAATTCCTCGCATTCTCCCCCAACACTCCGTCCGACTACGTCCTCTGGCTAGGACACCGGCTTACGCCTTGAAAGTTTGGTCTCAGCGGTATAATAGCACCGAAGCCGAGACCAAGCGATCAGAGTATCACCAGCAAACGCCACTGCCCGATCATATCTCCGAACCGTCACATCTGAATCCGTCCCCCGAAGATTATTCGCGCTTTATCTTTCAGGATAAATGTCGCTCGACGATATATGCTGGTGCCGGTGGGCATGGGTGCGTCTCGTTTCTTCGTGAGAAATATGTCGAAGAAGGTCCGCCCAATGGTGGCGATGGAGGTAGTGGCGGGAGTATCTATATTCAGGCTGTTGAAGGCATGACGAGTCTACATAAGCTGGCTCGTAGGGGGATTATAAAGGCCGGTCGGGGGAAGAACGGGCAGGGGAAAAGCAAAGGAGGCAAACGAGGCAACGATGTCCTGCTCCAAGTTCCCGTCGGCACTGTCGTTCGCGAAGTCGATCGTTACGACCCGGTCACGGAGGAAATCGTGCGCCGGAAACGTGAGCGCAAGG